ATATAAACAATCTGAGTCGGTGTCTGTTCATACTTACTAATAAAAATAAATAACCATTTTAAAATTAGAAAGTACAAAATGGTCTGGATAACTAATAGACTTAACTAAACACAGAAAAGGCAAATATAAACTTACACTTTTATTTTCAATATAATTATTTTAATTCTTGAACATACATACCGATGGTCTAAGAAAGTAAACAAACAAGTAAAGGCCGTTTTCATCTCGACCGCATCGTAGCATTTTCTTTTGTGTCGAAGTAATTAGTTCCATTCTAGTGGTCAGGAAACAAAGAAATACGCTACGCTTCGCTACGATACGGTTGAAGTGGAAAACCAGCTTAAAGTGCACGGAAAACGTGTTGAAACGAATTTAGTTACAGGGAACTTAACTTCGAAAGTCATTAATATTTATGAAACAAAAAACCCTTCGACTTTGTCTTCCATGTCGTCCATATTAATATACTTCCAAAGCCTAATTCAAAGCGAGGCTAGCGACTCGCAACTCGCAGCTCGCAACTCGCAGCTCGCAACTCGCAGCTCGCAAAATAGCCGACCCCGTTTAGTTGGATAACTATTCTCGAGTATATGTTGATATAATGTACAATACGTATGCATAGCATGGGAATACCGCGGCCAACTTTCACTTGTTTGATAATGCTAAGCATTTTATGGATGGTTATATTACTGTGACTGGTAGACATAGATATCTTATATACACTAGATAGCGCATCTCTTTTAGTAAAATTGAAGCCAAGAATATTCCAGCGGTTACTCCCATTTGAATAGATAGCGGCCATGTTGGTCGTTCCCACTTGCTAATAAACGTTTAAAAACAAAAATAACTTTCATCATTTGAATAGTTTAAAAACGTATTTGGAATAGGGTTAACTTAATGTTTAAGTTCCCTGTTTAAGAAATAGAAAACATACGAATCTTCTCATTTCATGGGAACGACCTGAGACTGCAATCAATTATATGCACCTAATTATATTTTCGGTACTTTGATATATTTTAAAAATATCTGAAGTGACTGTCGTTCTTCTACGTGCAATCAACAAATAGACTAACAATATTGTCTGTTAGTGTTACTAAATACTAAATACAATATGAAGTAGTGAAGTAGCTATGTATATCATTCACTCGTCCACAAAATATCCCAGATAATGAATAAATACAGTTAAATAATTGCGTCAGTAAATTCTCTAAATTGTTCCTGTATTTAACTATTATCAATAAAATGTTAAAACGGAGCTTTGATTGACTGATTCACCATTTATACTAGTGAACTATTAAACTATCATGATTTACACGATTTTTGCATATTTACCAGACGATGCCCTATCCACCGACCCGAGGTGAACGCCGAGCGGGCGTCTTGTTTTTTTAAAGCCGTAATAAATTGCCGCTTTAAATTTATTTCATTTTTTTTAAAGCCGTAATAAATTGCCGAATGAGCTGTTCTTTACAAATCCTTATTGAGTTCTCTCATTTCACGATGTCATTGTCTCTATAAAACTGTAGGCAAACCAACAGAGATCTAAATTTCTTGAAATTGCTGAAATTTTACATTCGAATTCTCCCTTCTCATTCATGAATATTTTTGCGAATATACACGCGTCACTTGTTTACATCTACCAAACGTCGGGGCTTAACTCAAATGCTTAAATCGTTAATTGACTAATTAAGCCCCTGCATGGGCTTAACTCGAATCTTATGTTCATCGAGTTAAGCTCCAAACGAAAAAGGGCGTGGCAGTGGCTTAACTCGAAAAGGGCTTAGCTCGAAATGCTTGGAGGGAGATGACAAAATACCCTTTCTGACGATCTGGAGACTCCAAATTCCAAACTTTTCTCAATTTTCCTAGTCATATACTCACATCGAACTGTAAGTAACAATACTTATCTTCATTGTTGGGCAATACTAAACTAGAAATACATGCATGCAACAACCCTCGCCTATATTCTCCGAACATTGTTTCAACATGAAGTATTCGTAATTACGCCAACATTGAACGCAGGCTCGCGTTGCCACGTCATGTTCTCATCTGTGGTCATGTTTGTCATGGCAACATGATAACTTTTAAAAAAATTTTTTGTACAAACCTCAAACCTGCAAACAATAGATGAACCTTGAACAATTTTAAGTACAGAACTATCAATTTCTAAAATATATATAGTAGGTATATTATTTTGGTTTCTATGTGCTTTATTTAATGTAAATTTGAAAACGAAACTCTACGTGAAACGTTTTTAAATGTGAATTGAAATTAACTGCTTTTTGCCGATCGCGATAACTTGAGCTCCACTTATTACTCGCACTTTGAAATGAAATCAATTTAATTCGTACAGAACGCTAGCTAATGAAAATAATTTGCTTTCCTTGTTTACATGAACTTCTACAAAAGTTAATTTAACTACAATCCATAGGAAAGACTTGAACAACAAGAACATAGTCATACATAAACCAGGGGTGTATATAGTTACCATTTGCGCCCCCCTCTGGGGGGAGAAATATCAGGCCCGTGGGGATGAAAATGATCCTAAAGAGGAAGGGGAAGAAAGGAGGGCAAGGAAGGAGGGGAAAAGAAAAAAGGAGGGAAAAGGAAAAAAAGAGGGAAAGAAGGAGGGAAGGGAAAGAAAAGAGGGAAAAGGGAAGGAGGGAAAGAAGAGGGGGAAAGGGAAAGGAAGGGGGAAATAGAGGGAAAAGGGCAGGAAAATAGATGAAAAGATGGGGGGAAAACAAAGAAAGAAAAAACAAATTAAAGATGGAAAGGTAAGGGTTAAGGACTTAAGGTATTCAGACAAATATAAGTAAAAAGATAAGGAATCTGAAGAGAGTAATGAAATTGGATGCACTAAATAATAACTATTTATTAACAATTTTATCCCTTGAAAACTTCTATCGGTAAATGAGCTGTGTCTTCTTCCTTCTTCCTAAAATTTCCAAGTGCACTTGAAATGTGTGTGTATTTGAAAAAACGCGATATTCGATTGTCTTTGTCACCCTTCCTTCTATATGTTTTTGCTCTTTCATCCACTAAATCTTGAATGATAATTGGTATAATGCTTTTTTTGCAAATATGAAGTGGTGGAAGGTTAAACCGCAAGCAGACTTCCTTTGATAAGTTTACAGGGCTCAGATTTTTTCCTGTTCCCATCGCAATTGTCATTATGGAACCAACTGCCTCACGAATTGCCTCACAATGTATTTTTGTCCATTGTAAAAAAAATAAGTCACCAGTACGTACTGTGTATGGCACACCACCAACAGTCACTTTGTCCAGAGAGAAGGAAGCAGTTTTGAGAGTTTGAAACAATCGCTTGATGTAATCACTTAATTTATCAAAGACAATGTTACGCAGTTCAAAAAACTGTTCTCTGCCATCATTTTTTGTTGCAGATTCACCAAAGACCTCTGCTGTTAATTCATCTTTGTTGTTAAGTCTAACAAAATCATATGAACTTCCGGAAGTTCTGAAACAGTAGATGGCATTTGTGACAATCTTTGTGCACAACTTTTCATTAGTTGTTTTCCTTTTCTCCTCATTTTCTGCTTCTAATTCAGAGAAATTAGTACACCAGACATGAAGGGGAGATTCGAGGTGTACATTAATTCTTTTGCTGCGGTCTTTATTTGTCTGGATGGAAGCAGTTTCGCTTATTTTCGTAAAGGTTCCAAAGCCATGTTCATGAAATCTTTTTAACTCTTTTGGAACTTTTTCATGAGAGGAAAAAACTGAGCATGGAATGCAAATTATTTCATCATCTCCACCATCATGCCAGACATTTTCCTTCTTGTGCTTACATTCCTGTTCATTTGAAGTATCAAGTAGTTTAATAACCTCCCTTGCAATATCCTTGGCTATAGAAGAGTCCTGAAACTTTGCAGAAAATCTCTCAACGATCTCCTCTGATAGCTTTTCAATGTTTAACTGGGACTTTGTTCTTGTAGTGTGATGTTCTGTCTGGCAGGTAAGCTTCTCTGAGTTCTCTCCAGACTCTCCAATCAGCCCATGGGTACATGTAACTCATCTTGCAAATCCTGTGAACTACCTGGATATTGTGACCAGTGCCCTAGATCCTCCTCCTCTACAACATGAGGAAAAGCACCTCCTGCTTCATCGTGAACTGTACACCAACACAAATCCTTTTACCTGCATCGCTACCAGAACCACTGTTATCACTGTAGTTACTTAATTCAAATTGAACTGTATGGTCAGGAGATCCAGCTGCTTTATCAAAGGTTTCAGTCATTTCACTTGAATTATCAGCAAAGATTGATGCAGTATCTATTTCAAACTGTCCCTGTCGACTACTTTCGTCAAGATCAGCAT